AGAATTTGTCAAAACTTGTCTTTGAAACTTAAAAGTTTTGTCCTTTTCTATAAATTCATGAATTTAAGTGGGTTTTGAAATCAATATTAACCCTTTGACTCCTGGAACTTTTTGTCAAAAACGAATTTTTTGGACATTTTGGAGATTTTCAGTCTGGGTATGAGCCAAATTAGCTGCAATCTACTAAAAAAAGGTATTTGCAACATTACAGCATGCCTCTCTTTCCAACAACGTCACATTTTACGACATTTTTGCTTAGGCATGCACAGAAATCGAAATTTCAAAATTTTTGGATGAGAAATTAGGTCTTTAGGCCTTTCATTTTTATTTTTTATTTTTTTGTTTTATTTTATTTTATTTGCCTTTCCTTTTTCTCCTTTTCTTAATATCTGAGCATTTTCGTGCATATTTCAGGCTCTAGTGACCCCAATCACTCCAATAGGGGTATCATTGGAGAGATCTTTCCTCTTTAAGAACTTGAGTATTATAAGTGATGCCAATTTTGGTCAAAGGTGATGACATCAGGAGTGGAACAAAGGTCAACTCTCATCATGGCTGGTTACAGCCGGGACAATGAAGTTGAAGTGGTTTTGTGGAATATCAAAACAAAAAATAACTACGATCATTGCTGGCAACAGAATAAGACCATGTTATTGCATGATGATGTTATAATTAAATTGGTTCTTGTTATACAGAGTCAGAAAAATTATCCAGAATCAACACCAATCTGCCATTTGCCATTAGCTAGTATTACTGTACATGTACAGACTGCATGATGTTTAGCTGTCTTGCTGGGAACAGTTCCATGTAGTTCTAATAAACAAAGCCAGTGATCGACTGTTAAAATAAAACCTTGATAAAAGTAGGTTTGATGTCACATTTTCTAAGACAAAACAAATTCTAAATTTTGCTGTACAGCTGTACATCATTTTTTATAATGATAATTTTGATTTACAAAACACAATTACTTCATACATTACTTACAGTGCAGGTCGCATTACAATACTCTATTTACAAAACAATACTTATATTGCTTACAATACAAGTTACTTATGCTGGCGATACAATACTGAATACATTCTTGTTACTTGCATTAGGGACTACTTACACTTCTAACAATACAATACTCTACTTACATTACTTGCTTAACACACAGTAACTTACATGTAATAACATGTAAGTAACTGTAACCCCTTCA